GATACCGATATGGTGGCCGATATATCGTGCATCCCTAATTTATACCCATAGCTACTGAGTGATCTGCTTAATATTGTGAAGACCTGTTCCTGTTGCATGCCACTGGTCCATGATTTTGTACATGTATTTAACTGCATCTAATATATTTATATTTATTATTTCTTTTAAGTGGACTTAAATAAATTGTAAAAAAGTTTTTGTTTCGATTTGCGTATATTTTTTAATAGGTGGTTTGAAATGTGAATTGTAAAATCAGTTTCAGCCTGAATGATGAGATCAAATCAGAAGGATTTTTTTTTACGCTTAATTGCATAAATCTTACGGTTTCCTTTTTCCTCATGTGTCTCCATTGAAACCATCATAAGCCTAGCCTGGCTACAATAGTACATTAAGTAATATTTGACATTGTTGAATGTACAGGGAAAAGATGATGCTTTGAATTATCAAAGGAGGTGCCAAATTGACAACAAATAAGCAAAATAACATGTCTCTTTTGTGTCTGTATCTCCTCCTCTGACCTGCAGGCATGTTGCTGTGGTGTGGCGCTCTCGTGAATGGACCCTACGCCCTCATCACCACTGCTGTATCAGCTGATCTAGTAAGTGCTGGGCTCCTTTCCTCCATGTGCTCTTCACATGGACATTTGTAAAGTCTTAAATAAAGGATCAAAACAGATACGCCGGCTTCGACCTAGAAGTCCTGCTGTCAATAACTGATCAATAAACTATTTTGTAATGCCACAAGCACTTTGTGTTGTACATTTCATAATGTTTTTTGATCTTTTAGGGAACCCATGAGTGCCTGAGAGGGAACTCTAGAGCACTGTCCACTGTGACCGCCATTATTGACGGCACTGGATCAATAGGTATGCAGGGAATGTGGCTTTTTTTTTTTCTTTTCTTGAGCTTGATACTATATTTGGTATAAATATATAAAAATACACCTTGCTACTGCGTTAGGCTAACCGAGACTTGTCATTTGCACTTGTTGCTCTTTTGTTAGTTTTGACTGCTTTTATTGTCCTCATT